TTTGTAACTTGATGTGTGTAGTTGGGGGAGAGGAGGACAGCACCCAGGAAGGGCCAGTCTTGTTCAAGTTGTTTTGCAGGAATGCCTGGGCACCAGCCAAACCATCTCTGCATCATTTGCCCAGCATATCCCCCGCCCTTTTTTTCCCTTGTTCTTAGCATAAGCCCTTTTATACCCAGCTTTCCTTTCCAGGATCTCATATCTCACCTTGGATGCTTCTCTAGGTCAGTAACCAATTATCACCGAGCCTGTGGCTGTCACTTTCACCATCCTGCTGGTCAGGGCCCTAGCACTCCCAGAGCTGCCCAGGAAGGTGGGCGTGGTGGGCGCACACCCATGTCCCCCGCCTGCTGAAAGTGGTGGCACCACGCCTGAGCTGCAGGATGCCTCCCCAGCAATGTCACATCTCCTGTTTCCCCGTGACTCTGCAATGGCTCAGGGGCACGTGCCCATGGGCCTGCACCCTGGCTATTCTGCCTGCTCAGTGTTGTGGGCATACCTTGTTCACCACGATCCCGGATGTCAGCATGGTCACTGCTCCTATTATATTTACAAGAGGAGATTGGGGCACAGAGAACCTGAGAGGGGGCAGTGGGAACCTCTGAATCTGAACTCAGCTGGATGAACGTGCGGGTACCCTGGAAACCCCATCTGCAGCTGGCATCTGACATGGGGGGCAGCCTTGTGGGAATGAGCCCTTAATGTGTGGCATCTGATGCATCTCCAGGGAGATGGTGTCAGAATAGAATGAAATGGTTGGACACCCGCTGCTGTCCAGAGAATCAGAAAACTGGTTGTTAGTGCAAAGGGTGCCACGTATTTGGTGTCCAAAAGCTCCGTGCATATGTACGTTTTGAGGATTCTCCCAGTCAACTGTTATGATCTCAGAGGAAGAAAGCGGGCTTCCTTCTTTTCCCTGCCCCCCAAACTGTTTTTTTTCTGTGAGACATAATGATGGAAACATCACCCTTCAGCACGGGTGGCTAGCTAGCATGGCCCTAAGCAAGCCAGGGGCTGGCTTATCTATGACCATAACGTGTGCCATTTTGATGTGTCAGAGGTGAAGTGACAAAGAGTTCAGAGGGCATGGGGGGGCTGGTAAAAGAGGGTAAAGGGGGCCAAATACATGGTGATGGAAGGAGAACTGACTCTGGGTGGTGAGCACACAATGTGATTTATAGATGATGTATTACAGAATTGTACACCTGAAACCTATGTAACTTTGCTAACCATTGTCATCCCAATAAATTTTAATTAAAAAAATTAAAATGGTAAATACTTTAGGGAAAAAAACATAGATTACAGTTTAACGCTTTACAGTGTGAATGTTATCAGGTCTATAATTAAAATTAGGAAGTAAAAAATAGAGCATAACTATAAGAAGGACAGGAAACCTAAAGCCAGAAGAATGGTCAAATTCCCAAATAAGACAGGCTTTTGTTTGTTTGTTTTTAAAGCAAATGCAAGTCTCTGGGTATGTCCCTTCAGAAACTGAAATGGCTTCTGCCACTTCTTCTCACAGATTAAATCAGATTATGTCTGACAGGCCTCCCCAAATAATAAAACTGATCTACAGAGAAAACCCACCAACTGCTTCCTCCTGGGACAGTAAAGGGGTAAATACAGGGATAAGCCACTTTTTCTTCCTTCAGGCTAAGTAACTGGAAAGTCAGACAGAATCAAGGCCCAGTGACAGGATGGAAAACCAAATTCATAAACTCAGGTCAAAAAGAATTTATTACTTTAATTTTTTAAACCTTTCTGTCTCTTCTATTTTGAATCTATTGAAAAAATCTATCATTTGCAGAATACTGACCTCAGCTTTAAAATATCCTAAAGTAAAGATTATGTGCATTCAGATTTTCAGAACAGGAATTCAGCAACATGGAACTCTGAGAGAAAAACCAATGTCCTGGGCTCTGCGCCCCCTGTCCACGTGTCCACCCTCCCCTGGGACTCGGCCTCTCAGCCTTCAATACGGAGCCACACTCGCATCTGCCCATTCAAGTCAGGCTGGAGAGCACAAAGAGCAGGAATCAAGGTGGCAGCTGTCTTAGAGATGGCCCTGGCAGCTTCCAAGGCCTGCCATGGTGACATCTGAGTTCCCCATGTCCAGCCTCAGTGGACAGGCCAGGGCTTTCCAGATGAAAATACTAGGCGGAACAGAGATGTTTGATTAGGTAACTACTAAGGTCTGTTCTCAACCCAACATCCTTGTGAGTCCTTAAAACTCAGTAGGGAGCCAGTGTTACAGCTGCTAGAAGAGCAACAGGTCCCATGTCACCAGCTTCATAAGGGCACACACTCTAAAGGCACCCAGCATGTGGGCCCCTGGGAGCCAGTATCAGCCAGCGATGCCACACCCAGAAATGCAGGTGCCCTCACACCGTCATAGTGAGGCGGTCCGTGCCCTTCCTCCTCTCCCTTCCTTTTCTGGAGAGCTCAGATTTCTCCCACCTGCGAACCCCACTGTCTGCACACCAGCCCGCCTCCTGCAGTAGCTCCAGGAAGTTACTTGGTCCTGCTATTTTAACCTTTTTCGGACTGTAAATCACACAGCATGATGCTAAATGGCTTCATGGTGGAAATGGGGTCTCATCCGTTCCTGGGTCCCCCTCACATGGCCTACTTCAATGCCTTCTACATAGCAGGTGCTTAAAGAGATTAGCCAAATAAGCCAATGAGATTAAAAAGGTCAATTTTGAAACAAATGAAGTGGCAGTCTCCTGCAAGCATTAGTCTTAATTAGAGCTAAGTTGTGCTTCAGAGAAATTCAGAGGTCTCTGCTGACATCCTCCCAAACAAGGGTGCTTATTTATGGAGCAACTGAACTCAATACAGTGGTGAGAATCCACGCACAGTTTCTTTTCCTGGAAACCAACACCCATTCTTTAAAAAAAAAAAATGCCCAATCGTATATGTTGCTGAAGATCAGTCCTTTACTGGGGGCGAGAAACCGAGGCACCAGGCAGCCAGACCTGCCCATGAGATAACGTGCCCTGAGCACAATTAGGCGCGTCTCTCTCCATAACAACAACGTCAACAGCAGCTCTGTGCTTGAGAGGGAATGGGAAGGGTCCAGTTTTACATAAAAAGGAAGAGTTTGCACCAGCCCCCAAATTAATTCCCAGATCTTTACCTTATACCACAGTGTTCAAATGTTATCTGGGAGCTGGCTCTGTTTTGTATCTCAGTATCCTAGCCCCTCCTAAGTGTAGCGTGAGTCTTTTGTTTCATTCATTCATTGCACAACAGTTATTCAGGGCCTGCATTGGGCTAGGAGCTGGGGTGGAGTAGGCTAGGGGTAGGACCTGCCCTCCTGGGGCACACGTTCTAGTGGCGGAGGGTGACGCGGAGCCCACTGACAAATAAACAATGAAAAGGACCGCACACAGTGATAAGAGCTTTGAAAATAAAATGAAACAGGGTGCTACGGACTGCTTGTCTGTCTCCCCCTGAAATTCCTGTGTTGAAACTCTAACCCTTAGGTGATGGTTCCTGGAAGTGGGGCCTTTGGAAGGTGATCAGGTCATGAGGGTGGGGCCCCATGAAGGGGGTTAGTGCCCTTGTAAGAAGAGGCCAGTGAGCTTGCTCAGTCTCTGTCCATCATGGGAGGGCACAGGAAAGAGCCAGCTGGAAGGAGGCTCTCTCCAGAGCCCAGCCATGCTGGCAACCATGACATTGTACCTCCAGCACCCAGAACTGTGAGAAATAAATATCTGATGTTGACAACCCACCCAGTGTAGGGCGTTTGGTTATAGCAGCCCGAGCTAAGAACAAGGTAAGGAGAAGAGAGCGGGCTGGGGGTGAGTGGGGCGGGTCTGGGGCAGTACGTAGGAACCCAGGTGATCTCTAGGAAGAGGCTGGTAAGAAGTGAGGGAGAAAATCAAGTGATTCTTTGGGAAAGAACCTTCCAGAGCGGGAGTAAGTGCAAAGGTCCTGGGGTGGGCATGTGCTTGGGTGATGTGTGCTGGCCATCAAGGACTCAGTGATGGAGAAGAAGAGAGGCTGGGCAGGCAGGGAGTCAAAAGTCACTTCGAGGACTTCATCTCATATACCGCTGAGTAAGACAGGAGCTCCTGGAGGGATCTGAGCCAAGGAGGCTTCAGGCTGAACCATCATCTTATCTTACTAGGATCGCACTGACGGCTATTTTGAGAACAGACACCACCAGGGGAGGGAAGGGCTGACAGGAAGTCTGGCTGGGAGGCTCTGTAATAACGGAGATGAGAGATGACACTGGCTTACACCAGGGTGGAAGCAGTGGGTTGTTGCTCAGTGCTTAGACCCTGGATCTATTGTGAAGGTCAAGCCACTAGAATTTGCTGCCAGGTCAGATGTGGGTGTGAAAGACAAGAATTATGGGTGGCTCTGAGGCTTTTGATCTGAGCAAGTGGACACGGAGTCCACTGATTCCGATGGAGAAGCTTGTGGAACGGGCACGTGGGAAGGGAGAGGAGGGAAGGTTTGCGAGCCCATTGCAGGCATCCACATGGACACACCAGGGAGGCAGTCGAACGTTAGTTCACAGATGTTGCTGCAAGCCAGGACACTGGGGCCTCCAACTCCTGGAATGATGAATGGCTGGAAGGAGACGAAGAGACAGCAGATGGGACTCAGCCGTCACCGGTGAGCTGGGAGGAAAAGCTAACAGAGAGGTTATCTAGACGCTAAGAAAAGGAGGATTTCAAGGAAGAGAAAGCAGTTAGCTCTACCAAGTGCTTCTGAGGGGTCCAGTAAGATAAAGGGAAAAATTAATCACTGGGGAAACCAGAGCAATAGTGTTCTTCCCGGGAGAGATTAGGATAGGGCAGGTATTGGCAGGTAAGGGCCACTGGGTATCACCTGGGTGATGGTGCAGTCCTGCCTCCCAACAGGGGAGGGGCTGCTGAGCTGAAGGCACCCCTGGCAATTCACTGACTGGTACCCTCAGGATCTGGGCATTGCATTGTAGGCAGACTTTACTTTGGAAGAAAAAATAAATAAATAAATAAATAAATATATATATATATATATATATATATATATATGTTCTAAGATCTGCATGAAATATGTGGGTGAAAGTGCCCATGAAATATGCAGGCGTCACTCTTCTACTTGGGACTGCATTTAACAATAAGCTAAAATCAGATCAATAGGAAGGTGGACAGCTTCCCAGATATGGGATAAAGCAAGTATAGTAAAATGCTAATTACAGAATCCAGGTGGCAGCACATGGGTAGTCACTGCAAATTCAACTTTTTGGTTTGTTTGAAAATTCTCATCAAAAATTGGAAACAAAAACAAGAAAAACATTCCTCACAGCGTTTAGTAACCTGGAGGGTCAGTGAGGGGTTAGCTCACCCAAAGCCAGATAAAGGTGGGTTGAACTGAGAATGCAAGGGGACAGATGGGGCAGTCGGGGGACAGTGTTTGGCAGGACCTTGCTGTAAAGGTGAGGAGGAAACCATGGAGCCACTGGGTGGGGAGGGGGGGAGGTTATGGGGATACACTGTAGCATGTCTATATGCTAATGAGAACATCCCACAGACACTATTATGATGCTAGAGGCAAATTTCAAAAGCAAGGCTCTCTGCAGATGCCAGGAGATGGGACCCTGGCCACAGCAGAGAGGGCTGGCCTTGAGGGAGCACAGATCCATGGCACAAGGACAGAAGATAGAGTAGGTAAGCACAGGTGTGACGGTGGGGTCCGCTCACTGAAGAACGCTGCTTTAAATCCTGAGGGGGAAAACACTCAAAGATTTCTGCCTTATTCATTACAGGTAGGATCTGCAAAGGGTATCACACGTAGCTAAGTGTACTGCGGGGACACAGCAGCTGGCCTTAAGTGAATTTGTTTTCTATCCCCCAGTTTCCACTTGGATTCCCACTAAAGTTCACCTGCCCAAGAAGACCCTGGAAATCCCCTTTGCCTCTATGTGTATCCCTCTCACTTCACAAAAAAATACTTAGTTCTCTTAAATCTTATTGGGGATACTACCCAAGAACCAAACAAAGGGTCAATTCAAAATACTCTGAATTATGTTAAAAACTCAGTGACTTTCAAAGTCAAGTGGGTTTTGGTCTTTTTAATTGTTTCCTTTCCACATAATTAAAGGAAAACTAACCAAGTTGTCAGCTGAGAGACCTTCATGAAAACTGTATGCTTTTTGGCATGTAATCTGGAAGAAATTCAAGGAATTAAATAACAGCTGTGATAAAGTACCTTTCATTATGAACTATACATATTACTACATCTATTTTTAAAAGTGACAGAATGGGTGAAATCTGTATCAATGTCTCAATTCTAGTAATAAAACAAGTCATCTCTGAGTACATAAAGGAATTTAAAACGAAGTCCCATCTCTGTTAGAGAAATGAATTTCCAGTTTTATGTTTAACAATTACTTATTAAAATTTGTAATTAGTATCACCTTGATGAATTATGTACCAATAGTCGTGATCCTAAATTAATCCAGAAAAAAATGTAGACATTTATCTTATGAAGGAATAATTTTTATGCAAATATTTACATGTGAGACAACGAAGACAGAATGATTAATAAAAGACTTTCAAACATAAAATTATATCACATTAGGATAAAATTCTATGTGGAAAGTGCAGCAGAGATTCAAGTGCAAAGATAAAAAGGGAGTATGCAAAATATCTGACAGTTAAAGAAGGGCTTGTTTGTACTTTTAAATGAGTGATCTGGGTGACTAATTATATGCTATTTAAATAGATTCCATTCAAAATACAGATTAACAGTTTTATGTTTAAGTGTCAATATTTACAATTTGATGGAAGTGGCATCATTTGCAATTAATTAAATTTAGGTTAGAATTTTATGTGTCAAGCTAAAAGTCCATGAATGGAAGGATATAGCATTTCATTTCAAATTTTTTTGCAGGGGTCACCAGAGCAGGAAGTGCGAAGACCTCTGGCTTAGGCAACACTCTGGGTCCAAGGACGCCCATCTGGAGGGCACGGAGAGCGAGGTGGGCACTCATGAGCCTGGGGACCAGTCACAGTGCAGTCTGTGGGTGTCTAAACACAGAGTGGCATCTTATTACATGTCTGGCATGAAGTGCTTTTGAAATTTCCCCAGGTCACCCCCATTACCCTCAGTGCAAGCATGCACTGAGCCTTGCCGAGTGCCACACATCCAAAGAAAGGGCTTTCACTATGTGGAGTCAGGGATGACAGTCCCGGTTTTCCCCAGAAGACCTCTGCTTTTCCTGCAATTCAGGCACAAGCATTTCAGACCTAAGAACAGGGACACCCATGAGCAAGGACTGCCGTTGTCTCAACTCACCATTTGCAGCCAGATGTTGGTGGTTAGAACTTGGTTCTTCTCATCCTTTAAAGGGAGAAAAAAAAAGAATCATAAGTATGGTTTCTGTGGTTCCCCAAAAAGTGAATGTACCATTTCTCATGTAGAAATCTGAGTGTTGGGTCTGTGGATGTGTGTGGAGAACAGAACGCACCAAGCACAAAGTTCAGCTTTTCTATTCACTCTGAAGTAACACACATTTATTATAGATCGTGTACAGAACATGGAAAAGCACAAAGAAAATGAAAACACAATCCAGAGGTGACACCTGCTCATGGTGTAACTTACCTTTCTTTCTATTTAAAAAAAATAATTTATGGGCCAGCCGAGTGGCGCGTTGGTTAAGAGCTGGCTTGGGACGCCAGAGGGCCCCGGTTTGGATCCCACATATGAGGGCCAGTAACACTGCCCTCTACAGCTAAGATGCTGAATAACAGCTCAACCTGGAGATGGGCTGCCGTGAGTTGCCGGCGACAGTGTAGGCTGCAGCCCCTGCTGCAGTGGGTTGCCATGGGCTACAGTGTGTAGCCAGTAGCCAGCGTGAGTAGCCAGTAGCCAGCGTGAGTGGCCAGCAGCCACAGTGAGCGGCCATCCAGAAGCCGGCAACTGATCTGCCTTGCCCGGGAAGAGTGCAATGA